GTGGGTCTTTAGCTGAAGTAATTCTACTGTATTTTAGGTCAGAGAGGAAAGATAGAAAGGAAAGTTCTCCTTTTAGGCCCAGTAATTAGTGCACTCCACTTGGGCCTGCTTGCTTTCTTTTGTCTTCAAAAACAGCTTAAGCTTTACACTTGTAATCAAATAGACAAATTCATAGGAAGACCTAAGAGTAGGGACAAAAGACTATCTGAGGTAACCATGCCTAACCATTTCAGAAAAAGCACCTTCCTTTTGGATTACTCTGTATGTCTTTCATCCCATACAGCTTCTATAAAGACTAGAGAAAATACTCCATTACTACTAGTTCTCAAGGCTTATGAGTATATTCAAGTATGCAAGACTAGAGTATGCTCTTTTATGTTTTGATCTATATGGATTGATTCTGCAATGATTGAAAACAATAGCAAGTTGTTTTAGGAAGAATTTTTGGCCCTCTTGAAGTAATCAAATAAATCTGATCCAAGATATAATTTGGTTAACATATTTAATCATTCATCATTGTTCTGTTACTGCATCTTTCTATATGATTGCACAGAAATAATTTTTAAAAATGCAAACCAAGTATTCTTTTCAAAAAAAAAGGTGCTGTGAAAGTGTTTTTTAATAGCACACTCCTGAGAAAACTAAAATGAGAAACCAAATAAGAAAAAAAGAGCAAAACAAGAATTAATTTAATTTCAATACACAGGAGGTTAAATTAATAACTATCCCTTTCCTCGTAACACAAAAAATAGAAGTGACAATTGAAATTAAAAACACCAGTGGTTTTCAATATAATTGGATTGAACATACTTTATTTATTAGAGAAAATCCTTCAAGGCAGAAATAGGTCATTATAAACATATTCATATGTATAACATATATTGTTGTACATACTGGGAACAATATTCCACAGATGAAAGCATATTAATGCTGGCCTTAAGATTAAATTTTTCATTAAAGTAGTTTCAAGTAGTGTAATAAATAAAAATTAACCTCCCCTACACCATCTTGTATTTTGAGCTTTTACAATTTCCACTCTGAGGATCTTCATGCGTCTTACACATATTATTATATTGGGACTCTCAACTCTCCTAAAAAGTAGAAAATGCTTCAGTAATGTGCTAATTAATCTTCATTTTACTCCAGGAAGATTTTTCAGAACAAAAACTATATAAAATTATTTCAGCTATAATTGTATTTTAAGTACACTTTGTCCTATACTTTGCACGTGTTCTCTTTTAAATAGCCATAGCATAATTTTGAGCATTAAATATGCTTATACAGGGGAAAAAAAAAACCTGATTTAGTTCATTTCTTGTATCTCTGGTATACACAGATCCACATTAGTTTGAAAGTTCTTTGTACCCAGTACAGTATTAATAAATCATTAATTAAAATAAAAACAGAATATAATTTTAAAATGTTAGGAAAGTTAGCAAAATATTTCAATTACTTAAAGGAATATAAATTGATTAGAGTAAAAAGATCATGTTTCTGAGTTGTGTGAGGAATTATCTTCTCTCTCTGAGAAAATTAACTGATTTTCTATTAATGGATAGGAGGCATGAAGAAAGCAGCTCTATTTATTGGCTAGAGTAGCTGGTAACCTTGTTAGTAAAAAGTTGTAAAACTAGATGGGGCTCCCCTGTCTAGCAGAAGTAAAGAAACTACACTTAACTATATTGAGTGTGTTTTATGTCTTCAATCTGAGATGTTAAACCTTTATGAGGCCTTTTGATTTCATCTGCAAAAATTGCCCATGGAACATTTTCCTTTTAGCCTGTTCTGTTGCCACTACTGTTGACTGGGCACCCAATGTTCAAAATTTTCTTTTACCTATCTCTTCCATGGCAGCCCTGCTCTTCCTCCTGTCTCTGCATATTTCTTCATAATGAACAGCAGCTCGTTTTTCAGAAAAAAGGCAAGTAAGGGCTGGACTTGTTCTGTTATATCTGAGGCCTGGGCAGACCCCAAAATGATATGTGTAAAGATAGAATAAAACCAATTGTCATCCTCTATGAGCAGCTTGAGGCAGTGTCCTGCCAGTCATCCTCCCAGTCCTTTGACAAACTGACTTTTATAGAAGGCAAAAAGCAAAGCTCAAGGAGAACACAGGGTTGGGTGAATAATATAATTGCCTGATCAAAAGAGCCAAAGTAGGTATCTCTTCTGTAGTCATTGCAATTATCTCACACATGCAATGGTTTCCTAAAAACTTCCTCAAAGCTCCCATTTGATGTGCTGAGGTGTTGAATGATAAATCTATACAAAGGACATGAAATGTTTCTCTCATTCATCTAGTTTCAAAAAGAGGTGGTAAAATGCAGGAGCCCAAACACTGACAGTGCAGCAGTCCAGAAGGCACCAGTTCAAAGAAGCTGATCAGAGAAATTACTTTCTAGAATAGATTACAAAGACATGGCTTTTTTCTTTTAATTCATAGAAGAAGCAACCCCTTGAAATTTTAGGAATACCTAATGAACAATACTTCACTTATAGTTAAACCTCTCTTGAGGTTTAACTATAAGCAACTAATTTATTGCTCTCATGGGGATATCTATGGCAGGAAAATAGCTGCTCTCTTCTCCCCACATCATCATCTGTTATTTCTTCTCCTAGAACTATTTATAGCAAAGGAAATGAAAAACAGAAAAGAAGCACAAATAGGTTTGTCTGTGATTTTTTTGAAATCTGTGTTAATGAGTAAAGAAAAAGACCTTTTGAACTGTCTGACTATTCCCAGGTTTTTTTTCCAATCTTAATTTCTAGTGTTTTTTTCAGCCACATTTCAAGTATTTCAAGAGAGAGGTTGTCTCTGAATTAGTTTTTTGAGGCTGCTTCACAGGCTAGTGGATGGCATCTCTTTTAAGCATATCTTTTGAGATATTTTTCAGAATACACTTGCTTTTTCTTTAATGACTTCAAAACCTTCTTTCCCCCAGAAACCTCATTCTGTTTGTATCATCTACTTTGAAGTCCTGCTAGAGTAATTTCACTTTTATCAGCTGCTGCAGGATTTTTACCCCGCTCTTGGAGTTTCTTCTGTGTTGGCCAGTAATGTGATCAGAACTCCAGCAATGCCCCTTTTTATAAAGATAATTTCTGATGTGTGTTCTGCATTTTTACTGAAAAAAAACCCCCAGTATCAAAAGTGAGCCCTATATTCTAAGAGTACTTTCAGGATAGAAAGTTAATCACATAGCACTTACTTCAAAATAAATAGGCAATTAAGTCTATTCCTGATGAATATACCAAGGACAAGTATATTTATATTTACTACAGAAAAATGAGTTACAACATTACAAATTTATTTGGTTTTTAATTTACAATAAATTAAAAACATTTATTCTCAGCATGCAGCTCTAAGGTTGGTTGAAATTTCAGCTTAGCCCTGTTGGTATTCAATAAATACATTTTTAATGCTAAAAGTATTCCAAAGTAACATACAATACTAATAATAATTAATAATTAATGTATTGAATTATATATAATCAATGTATTGAATTATATATATTATTATTGAATGTATTGAAATAAAATAAATGAAATAATTACATTTCTTAGGGGAAAACATCAGGTCATATTCAACAACATGAGAGAGGAGAGGGTGCTGCCATGCTCCCAGACCCATTCAGCAGAGGCTGAAGATATGTTCCTGGTAGGCACATGCACATAAAGCATATATATACATCACATACATACTTATACAGATGGCCAGCCACACAGGTCACAGACAGACACACAGAGTAGTCACATAAACACAGACAGCACCAACAGCGTCATCCTGTTCTCCTCTGTGGCTGAGCAGGATGAAGGTCCATTGATGTAAATACATCTATATAAGGGACCTGGGAGTCCTGTTCAATGGCAAGTTGAATGTGAGTCAGCAGTGCCCTGGCAGCCAGGAGGGCCAACCCTGTCCTGGGGGGCATCAGGCAAAGCATCACCAGCCGGTCAAGGGAGGGGATTGTCCTGCTCTGCTCTGCACTGGTGTGGCCTCACCTTGAATATTGTGTGCAGTGTTGGGTGCCACAATATAAGAAAGACATTAAGCTATTAGAGAGTATCCAAAGGAGGGCAACGAAGATGATGAAGGGCCTTGAGGGGAAGCCGTATGAGGAGCAGCTGAGGTCACTTGGTCTTCCCTCAGCCTCAGTCTGAGGGGAGACCTCATTGCAGTTACAACTTCCTTGTGAGGGGAAGAGGAGGGGCAGGTGGTGACCAGTGACAGAACCCAAGGGAATGACCTGAAGTTGTGTCAGGGAAGGTTTTAGGTTGGATATTAGAAAAAGGTTCTTCACTCAGAGGGTGGTTGGGCACTGAACAGTCTCCCCAGAGAAGTGTTCACAGCACCAAGGCTGACAGAGTACAAGAAATATTTGTATGATACTCTCAGGCATATGGTGTGACTCTTAGGATGGTCCTGTGCAGGGCCAGGAATTGGACTCAGTGATCCTTGTGGATCACCTCCAATTCAGCATATTCTGTGATTCTGTGATTCTGTGAAAGAAAGATAGATATATATACACACACACACACATATATACATACAAGTGTGGATCCCTCCAGCAACCAGGCTCAGATATGGGGCTTGGATGCCCAGTAACCACTTCTAGATACCAGCTTCTCCACTTGCTGGCACCTCGGCATTAAAGCCCTTGAGGCTCAGCCCCACTACACTTGCTGGTACAGACTGCCTCATGCACACACACAAAACTGGCCCTTGGTCCCCAATAGTCAACCCCACCATGGTGTTACTCTTTGAGACCTACTCATATCCTGACTCCCAGGTTATGTCACCTGCTCACCTGCTCATCCAACTTGATATTCACTAGCAACTACCCACTCACTCACACCTCTGCACACACTCCAGTTTACACAGCAGAGACACACAGAAACCTCCAATTCATAGTCTGACCCCAGCAGCTGCTTTTGTTCAACTTGTTTTATGTGATACAATATTACATATGCATCAGTTGTGTTACATATACATTAGTAGTGTTACATATGCATTAGCTGTGTCAGCAAATTCCTGAAAACTGGGAGGGGAAATCATTAACATACAATGTCTGTGGTGCTCCTGTTGGTTCTGAAACCACATTGGCTCTCGGGTAGAATTCCTTCTGCTATAGCAGGTATTAGTCTGTTCAAGAGTATTCTTGCCAAGTTCCCTTGTGGTTAATTTTTCTATTAGCCTAGAAAAAACACTGTACATTTCAAGTATAAACCTTGGTGCTAAAATACATTACTGTAGATATGCTAACAAAATACTTCTATCTGATAAAACATTGGCTAATAGTTGGTGGATAACTTTGGTGAATAATTTTACTACATAGCCACTGATGTCTTGCCATAGGAGGCCAATATAGGCTAAATGCACATCAATGTCCTCTGATTAAACACCAAATACATGTGGGGCTTTTCTGAATAAAACTAGATGTTTAGTCTAAAAATACTAATTGTATTTCTTAGTGGGAGAAATTAATTTGATATTGCAACCCATGTGAATTGCATAATTATAATTTGGCTTAGTTTTCTGCAAAAATGAAAGTCATCAGAAGGCCTACATTTGAATCACATACATCAGAACAAGCATTAGATATAGCAAATTTAAATCAACCTTAGGAATGCAGCTTTGGAATTTGGAAGTGGATAAAAGTTCATTTGCGTAAACCTTAGAAGCATTAAAGCCTGAAAAAACCCACAAGCTTCAGAACCTGTTGTCTCAGGTCCCTAACTCACACACTGTCCTGGTCAGTATGTTCCTCTTCATAACGGCAAATTATCAAGGTCCATTTATAAAAGCCTCTTGCCTCACCTCTTAGTGAAGCTCTCTATACACAGCTTTCTAAGACTGTTCAACAGCACATCTTTTCACTGAAAGTAGGGGCTATCTCAAGCATCACCACACTTCAGGGTACCAAGAGGAGTGAAAAAGTGATTTTAGTGTCTAATGTGAGCTCACAAAACTCAGACTGTGGACACCAAACTTTGTTAAATTGTCTGTCCCTACTAAGATTTTGGTTCCTTTAGATCTGCTACTTCCTTTCTGGTGGGCTGCTATTAGATCTTCCCTTAGCAATGCCCTAGACTAAGCAAGCCCAACTCTCTGTCTCTCCTTTGTGGTCACATGTGTTTGTCCCTAGTAGTCTTCATGACCTTCTGCTTATCTCTCATCAGTTCCTCCACACCCCTGGGAGAGCCCCAAGACTGTCCCAAGCAGAATTAGAGAATAACTCCTCATCCTGCTGGCTTTGTACCAGTAGGTGGTTTATCTTATTTATAGTAAGAAGGTTTTCTTGGCTCACACTCAGCTTGACATCCCCTGTAACCCCTGTTTGGTGTCCTGTTTGGCAGTGCTGCCATTCAGCCACTCACTTCACAGCGGCTACTGGGACAAGGGCAGATTTCTTCCCAGATGCAGAACATTGAAATTCTTGTTGAGCTTCATGAAGTGTCTGTTGTCCCAGATTTTGTTATTAATTTCACCTAGATAATGTTATTAAATCGAGGCCATTTGTTAAATTCTCATGCTGTTGTGATCAAAGCTCTGTCATACTCAAATGGAAAAATTGGGAACTGAACTGGGCTGTGTAAAGCCACAGTGGGTTTTTTGGTAGCATTAGCTTTAAAGTATAAGCATGCTATTTCAAAATTATGTACATATTCTTCCATTAAGTTTTGTGTTTATGGTAAATTTAAATTTGCAGTCAGAATAGAAGTACATGCAGAAAGTGAAAATATTGTCAGTTATTGATAATTAAATCAATGAACATGAACATATATCCAAAATGAAACTGTACAAAAAACTGATGGCAAATGAAGCATGGGATGGAGAACCTCTCATATAAAAGGCTAAAATATATTCAAAGTTGCCAGAGCTCCAGCTCTATCCATTATACAATACAGTTTGTTATGCAGACAGACGTCTGAGCTTTGAGTTTCTTTCCCCTTCATTCTCTTTCCTACATTTCAGTATTTCTCCTTTTTTGTGTCTTTTTGGTTTGCTTCTTGTCTAAAAAGGGTGTTGATTAGGTAGTGAAGATGAATAAACCTATTGCAATATTCTTAGAAACACTGAAGGAGAGACAGCTTAGACAGCATGAGCTTGTAAATAATTTACAGGTTTTGGAGTGGTTCATAAGACCATGTGCTGGAGGTGTAATTTCCCAGCAACAAAATTGCAAGCAAGCGAGGTCATCAAAAGGCAGAATCGTATTTATTATTCTCTGTCTCTTCTTTCTGTCAGTTTAAATTATTTTCTCTTTAAAAGAGGGAGCACTGGACTCAGTTCTCTATGAACTTTCCCTCCTTTTTATTCTCCAGATGGAAAATAAATTAATACAATTTTAAAAGATTGTCAAACAGAAATTTGCTGTAACAAATTATATACAGATCAGGGAAAAAAAGAATATAGGAGATGGTTTAAATATGCCTCACATTTTTCTTTCAAACTATTTAATTATTTTCCTCTATTTTATAAGAGTTTAATGAAAGGTTAGATAGATTTTTTTAATTATAGTTTGTACAAAGGAAGAAGTCAGCAATAACTTGAAATCAAGCCATGGGGCATACTTAACAATTACGATATTTAATCTTATTCACTGAACTGCAGAAATCTCCTGATAAACACAAGAAAGCCAGATTTATGAGTCCAGAAAAGTGCAGGCTTGGAGGTAAATTGTGTTGGCTACATATATTTTTAGAATACAATTATTTAAGAACAAGAGTGTTCACTGTCATATAGAAGCTCAGAAGGAAGTTCCAAGCTAAAGAAAGAAAAGTTTGAACTGATAGTTCTGGTAAGAGTAATTGGCCAGCATCACAGATTTTTAATGAATGTTCTTAAGACACCATTACTACAGACCTTCAAGGATGTAGAAGGTGTTACCAGCAATGCTGTGCCAAAGAACAGAGGAAAATACAGAGGGTCAGACTAGAGAAACTCAAACTGTCATTCCTGGGTCTGCTAATAAATAATTCTCTGAAAGTAGGTTGCCTTTTCAAGCAATGATTCTTTCAAACAGTATGGTGATACCAGAGCTTATTAAGTGACAGGAAAAAAATACTACCTTTAAATGAGGAATGTAGATCATGTTTGTTTTTTTTTTTAAAGGTTCCTAACTCATTTTGAACTAACAAATAATAAATCAGACAGATTTTTACAGAGTACCCTTAATTCTCCTCTAGCTCTTCACAGCTACAGGCTAAGGACTGACAGAGTTGTTGTTGCTGGCACTTCCTGTAAAAAAGGGAGAGCACTCTGTGCAAAATGAGTATAGTTTGTATGTCTTTGTCATCCAAGGAAAAGCGAGAAAAATTACATTGCATGTTAATAAGCCATAGAGTTAGATAAACTTAGATGCTCATTTTGTCAATCATTATTTATTAAGTGTCTCAGGAAAAAAAAGTCAGTACCTGACCTGTACAAATTCAGATATGCAGGTTTTCTCTTTAATTCCTTCAAAATCTGCCTACCTATTTTTTTTTTGTCTGAAAAAAAATTACCTGCAGAACAGAAAGAAGTCACTGCTTATTTTTCTAAATTCCAAAGTAATGTATTATCCTTTCACATGTCCACTCACCTCAGGGGAAAGGCTATGTTCTTCCTTGTGGAGGTCTGGGAATGACGTAGATTATATACCAATGTATTCTTGAAAGAGGAACTTATAAAATACCTTTGTTACATTGTCTACATTGAATTACTATAATGTTATATCTGTATGTATCTGAACAATTCACTGAAGTTTTCTTTATTGTGCTTCGAATCCAAGTGAAAATACTGCCCTCTTGCATGCACTTCTACAACTCCAGAAGGCTTCACATAAAAAGACAAGCAGAGTAGTAGAATCATAAAGACATAGAATCATCGAGGTTGGAAAAGACATGAGATCATCAAGTCCAACCATTAACCCAGCACTGCCAAGTCCACCACTAAACCATGTCCCTAAGTGCCACATCTACAGAATGTTAAATGTCTTCACGGATGATGTCTCAACCACTTCCCTGAGCAGGCCATTCCAATGCTTCATAACCCTTTTGGTGAAGAAATTTGCTGTAATATTCAATCCGAACCTGCCCTGGGACAACTTGAAGCCATTTCCTCTTGTCCTATTGCTTGTTACTTGGGTGACCAACTGTAAGCCTGCTAGGAGCCAGAGACACTGGCCTATCTGACTACAGTCTTTTTGGGAAGCTGGTAAAGCAGAGAGAGATGTTTTAGATGCCCTCATACCCAACAACATGACAGCCAGGGAGATGCCTCCTCAATTAATGGATTACTCTTTACCTGATGAAGGGTAGAGATGTTCCTGCCATTCCCCAAAGGCTTTGGTTCGAAAGGCAGTGCAACCAGTATATCTGATCTTACAGAGACCTGTGCTCTAATTCCATAGCTGTCAGCCTCTGTGGTTGGGAACAAATAATTTTGTATGTCTATCTACGACACAGTTGTTTGTCTGTCTGATCAAACAGAATTGTTTTTTACTGTGTGCTGGCACATGCTTAGTTATGATGAAAAGCAGATTTTGGCTGAGAAAAGTGACATAAAATCAAAATAATCCTAGATCTACAGAACTGACATCCATTGCTCAGATGGTGCATTTGTCTCTCAATTAGTAAGATTACACTATTCGTTTCTTCGCAGAAGCTGTCGGAACTATAGCTCATTGGTCTTTATTTTATCTAATTAAAATACCATTTGTTCTCACATGAAAAGCTATTATTACACTGGTAAAAGATATTTCACTGATCTTTATCTTCATTTAAAGCTATTTTGTTTCCCCAGCTTAGGACTAGGAGTATATATGTTTGAACCCTCAGTCCAAATAGCATGGCAATTGACAAAAACAAATGTATGAACCTTAACACTTAATTTGTATTTTCTTGCTTATCTTTGTTTCTAAAAATTCTTTCCTTTTAAGGCTTTTTTTCACCCTCTGTGTTAAAGAAGGAATTAAGGCAAAAAAGGAATTAAGTGCATTGCCCAAAGCCATCTCCTCAGTCTGACAAATTCAGGACTAGAAATCGGCTCTCTGGTCTTTGATATTTATGTGCAACTTAGTAAACTATACGGTATTCCTTCTGCTTTTCCTACCTCTTTACATAAGTAATTTTTGTAAAGTCACAGCTCTAATCATCTTTTTTCTTCTCCATCACTTCCTTTTTTTTTCTTTTAGTCACTCTGTTCTGACACTTCCTGCTTATTCTTTCTTATATATATTTCAGTTTATGAAAAAGATGTAAAGAGGCAAAAGGTTCTGCAAGGTTTGAATAAGATCTTCAGCGTCAGGGTCTTTTGAATTCATTGAATATAACTCTTTCAGTTGAATTTTACTGCATGTTCTGTCAGTAATATCTAAGTGCTTACATTCCTGCTTGATTTCCATACCATGCAAATGCTGCTTGCAGCTGCAGGAGTGACCAACCATGGCCCATGAGTGACAGCAATGGCTCCACGCTGTGCAGCAGGACAGTTGCTGCTCATTTGCGTCACTCAGGTGGCAACTGAAATTGAGATACAGGGCACAAAAGAAATTTTTATCTCATGGGAATTCTTTAGAAAGATACTTCAATGTGATAAACATTTAACATTTGGTTGAAAGTGCAAAGTCACACGTTAAACTGTCAGAGTCACATACATGTTGTGTACGGTCTCATGAACACGAGTTGACTGGACCAGGTTGGATGGTATTCATTTCTTGTCTTTCACTTTCTTCCAGGAATGCCCCAGTGGTGTTGTCAATGAAGAAACCTTCAAAGAGATTTACTCTCAGTTCTTTCCACAGGGAGGTGAGTACTTGGCAGACATAATTAATACTACAGTATATTTGGTAGTTCCTAAGTCTGACAAAAGAGCCTGTTCAAATTAACAAGATTGTTGCCTCAAGCTCTGTCTGAACTCATGACATACTTCCTTGATGGTTGGACACATTTTAAAGTATATATTTCTGAATGAAATGCAATGATATCTACAAGAAGTCAGTCTTTTGTTATGAAGTTACTACCTGTGCTTGGATACCGTTGAAAACAAAGTTTCTCTGAGTAGGTTATTTATTTTTAAACTTTCTAAACAGTCTTCTCCATTCTCTTTGATTCCAAAAAACCCGTTTTTACAGTAGGAGGAACCGTAGGGGCCACTACGGGTACCCCCTAATATCGATGGCAGAACCCCCTTTAATTCTATGGAGTTTCCCTTCTTAAATGAGGGCTTTTTTTGCTAACCTTGATTTCAATTAATTGACTTCCAGGGGCTTCATAATTTCTTTATCTCCACTATCTTTTGGTGCAATGAAGGTAACACAAAAATAAGGAAGGTACGCTTTTCTGTGGAAAAAACCCCAACAAACCACAAACTTTTTTCTTCTTTCACATTTCATTTAACAAAATACAGCAAAAAGTCAGATTTTTAGCAGTGTAGAAAAGTACTGAATCCAGATAATTCGGTCATCTGTAACAGATGTTGTGTACTAGTGAGAGGATTTTTGGCTTTCTTAATAAAACTGTTTCAGACACCTCAGCAAAGAGCACTGCGAAGTGACCATCAGAATTCATCCCCTTCCTCCCCTCATCCTCCATGGCCTTCATGCAGTGGCACACAGCCTTGGCAGTATATAAACACAGCACAAACAAATGTGAAAGCCTTATTTAGTTTTCCTCAGAAGTTCAGGAGGAATATTCGGTGAAAATGGCAGAAGAGCTGAATGTCCTTGGAAGAGTAACAGCTCACATCAATATTACTTTAATTTCTATGGGCCTACTGAGTCTTGAACCATTTTATGCAGGTTTTGTGCTGTTTTGTAAGGTGCCTGTGTTAACTTTTGCCTTTTCTGAGAAGTATAGGAGTTCAAGTCTATTCTTTGTTCCTCACATTAGCCAAAATATTCTCAAAGCCCAATTAATTCTCAGTATTTGTATATCCCTGCATGTTAACGGGGTGAGATCATAATATATAGGTGTCTAGTTAAGCAGCCAGACTGAATTCCTAAATCTTTGAATTTATTGCCAAAATACTGTGTCCAGCTGAGGCCTTTAAATTTCAGTTGTGCTAAAAATAATGGTTTTATCTATGCCTGAATATTGAAGAGGAAAAAGAACGCTTGAAAGTTGTCCCCAAATTAAAACATGTCTTACATGTAACTCCGGGCTCCACTTATCTATGTAATGCAAAACCAGGTACAACATGATGAATCATTATAATAGTTCATATCTGAGCAAACAGAATGTAAGATTTTAAGCTTCAGGGCAACCAAAGTAATTTTTAAATATTAACCAGCAAGTCACTTCATTAGGCAACTTTCAAGACTATTCAGGACAAAGTACAGGAGGACTATAAACAGGACAAGGGGCCAGAAGAGTAACAAAGGATATGACACTGGATTGCAGTAAAACCAATGTGTTTTAAAGGCAGAAGTTAATTTGTAAAAAGCTTTCCATGCCAGAAAGGGCACTCCAGTAACTTCTTTTTAGAAAACCACTGCCATACAGGTGAATGAATAGGCCCCCTCTGTGCATGCAATGGATCACCTGAAATATAACTTGGGATTTTAACTCAGCCAGGCAGGTTGTAGATAAGAATCCACACTCTGGATAATTATTACACTCCTCCATCACTTATGAACAAAACAGATCATGCTCGTAGTTTGATAAGCCATATTCTTCGATGTATAATGACTATCATTTTTTCTCTCTGATGTTTAAAATGCTTTGATGGTGTTTTTCAAAGGAATTCTGATTTAATATCTGTTCCTGTCTTAACCTGTCAAAGTAGCGACTTATCCTCCTAGTTATGATATCAGATCCCTGGGAAAAAAAAATTTAATTTAAAACCTTAAAATTTTGTCAAACATGATTAATGTTCAAGATTTAGGAGGGCAGGAGCAGAGGGGAATTAGATTAAGTAGCTCTAATTAAAAGACTAGTGTACCTTATCCTGCTGTGGTTTTGAAGGCAAAATTTCAGACCAGAACTGCTTGAACAAACAACTCTGAAAAAGGCTTTTAATTTAATTTTTTTTCAGAGAGCATATCAGAAAGAAAAGGTTCTTCAACTAGGGACTTTTTTTTTGTCCAGATACCACCAAAAAAATTAGTATATTGTATCATGTATGGGCAACAAACAAAATATATTTATGTTCACCCTTGTGTTTTCCGTATATCTACAAAAATAATTAGAAATATTTCAGATATTTTTAAGAAATTATTGCCAAGAGAATGGAAAGCTATTTAAAATTCAGTTTACAGTAATTATACCTCTATTATATGTTTTTTCCCTGAAGATGATTTACACAGTATATTCTGTTGCACAACAGAAGTCTCAGTAGATTATAGAAAATATGACTATTAAAATCTTAAATATAAATTGAAGTCAACTAATTTACATTTTTCAGTTAAAGTGTGAATTTATCTGCTAGTCCGTGCTTAAGTAATTACACTGGTGACTGGATACATGGAAGAATGAATAACTGCTTAAGTAGTGTGGATTTTTTTAATACTCTGAAAATGCATTAACAGACATAAGGTTTAAAGGTTGCATTTTTTCTTGTTGTGATTATTTCACATCATATGAAATTAACATATTGAAGTAAGACCAGAGACTTTTTTTACAAATGCCAGGTCTGAATATGTGAAGGACAAAGTTTTGAGTTTTGGTATATTTGGTTCTTTGGAGTCAAGGTGGCATTTCAGGTGAGTGACTCAAAACTGACACTCAGTTTAATACAAAACAATATTTTGGGCCGTGACAAATAAAGGTTTGCAAGATTGATACAAAAGGTAAAATGGTTTAGTGCCAAGAAATCAGAAAAAAAGCATCTCAGCACTGGTGAGGTTTTTCCATGATAGGGAGAGGTTTGTTCTTCACAGGGGACACTGATTTCGTAACACTTCTCCCTTTATTACAGGTTTGTGAGATTAATGTTAATTAACCTAAACTTATTGCAAAGATATGAAGTAGAAAGAGCAAAGATATGAGTATTAAAAGTAAACAAAGCCTCATCCTGCATTAATTTGCATGGTTTTGAGGGAGAGAAAAGGCACTGAGGAAAGCTGACTTTCTACAACCCCAGCAGCTTCTACCTCACATGCACAGGGCAGTGTGAGATAAGAAGACATAAGTTCTCTCTTCACAATATATTACTCCTGGAGCAGGTCGTGCCTCTCAGAAGGCATCCAGTGGAAATAGAAAGATGAATCTTTATAATAAATTAGAGTCTTAACAGACTTATATTGATGCTGTCTGGTGTTTCTAAAATGAATCAATGTGCACTGGGGAGTAGGTTTGAAAAGTATACAAATAATCAGTGAAGGGATTGCTTGTTTAAGATCATCTTTCAGAGTCTTACTGGCCATTTAGACAGTCACAGCCAGTTTTCCAAAGGTTTTCAAGCACTTAGCCCTCATGCAACAATAATAGGAATTAAGTAGCAAACCACCTTTAAGAATCTGCTTCCCAGGAGAGGATTTTCTCTCACCCATGGGTGAGCATATGACCCGATCACAGCAGCATCTTTCTGACAAGATCAGTTTCAACCTGGGAAACAGGTCTGTCTCCAGAGTGAAACCAATATAATCCCTCATCACCATCATTTAGCATTCCCATTAACACAGGTTATTTCAGAGTACAATAACATGTCATCTTTTCTATTTGCTCAGGTATCAGTGATTAGCAAAAATGGGAATAAAACAAAATAGAGATATTCTAGAAGAAAAAAGTTCTTAGCAGTGCTTCTATCCATGTACTTGCACTTATAATTTATCCCTCTTCCTCTGACAAAAAGGAAGTTTAAACTTAATTGAAAATTCAGTCTTGCTATGAAATGTTGGTAACAAAGTATATCTTGGTCTCATGTAGTTTTAATAGAATGAAATTACATTAAATAATATGTGTTTACTGTGAATTATTTTTGTTTTAAATTTTAGATTCCACAACGTATGCACATTTTCTGTTTAATGCATTTGACACTGATCACAATGGATCTGTAAGTTTTGAGGTAAGTGATGCTGTTGCTTCTTTTTCTGAAACTATTTTACCATTCCTTGTATTTAAGTCCAGTATGGTGGCCTTTATTATATGGCTTTAATTATGAAAAATTTAGCTTATGTGACTCAAGTTTCAAGTTTTTCCAATGTAATAACAAAAGTCATTATTGTACAATTGTATATTCCATACCAGTAACTCAGACTGTGCTACTATGTAATATTTTTATAATCTGCTTATTTAAAAGGTGACTCAATTTATACACAAGTTACCCAAAATAGTCATTATCTTCCTCTCTGCTTCTGCAAGGTAAGAAGGTCTCTGAACTACAACTAATGTTATGGAGATGACTCAGACAAAATAGGATGGCTCATACACTCTATTAGTTTCCAGAAAGGACTAGAAAAAGGCTTTAAAGAAAATGTTTTTAAAAGCACAAGAGTTTCAAATTCATCCTGCCTCCATTTAGCTGCCCAGTCCCAGTTCTGCCTTTCCCTGGTAAGACTGATGTCATCAACACAATAACATGGTAAAAAGGGACCTCACTGCAATAGTGTAGATGAGAACAGTCTATATAAAATACTGCAAAGGATATATTATTTTAAGCTGTAAAATTAAAAAAAAAAGCTAATTTGCAAAAGGATATGTTTGCTTTGGTTTGTTTTGCTTTGATTTGCTGTGGTTATAATGAATGGATGATTTCCTTACAACTTGTGATTGGATTGTGATAAATACACCCACTTTAAATTTATTGAAATGGCCCATACATGTTTTTATGATTTTCTTTAGTGAATGATTTTGTGAGGTCTGAAAGATTTTTTTAAAGCATTTTCATTGCTTTATTATTGATGCAATAGAAGAAGACTCGTCAAGCAGGTGCACTGTGATCAGAAATCTATACCTCAACTGAGACTATAACCAGATAATTTTGTGGGGGATTATTTGCATTTATTTAAAAAAACCCCAACAAATATGAACCCCATCTATCTTTTTCTGGGCAGCTGAAATCAGTGGGCTCTATGTGAAACTCGAAGCAGGAATGGAGGTTTTATTCATGTCTTCTGTACATAGGCTAATTCTACAGGAAATCCTTCTGGTCAAATCACAGAATCATACAACGGTTTTAGTTCAAAGGGACCTTAAAGATCCTCTAGTTTCAACACACCTACCATGGGCAGGGACACCCACTGGACAAGGTTGCTCAGTGCCCCATCCAGACTGGCCTTGAACACTTCCAGGGATAGAGCATCCACAGCTTCCCTGGGCAACCTGTTTCAGTGCCTCACCATCCTCACAGTGAAGAACTTCTTTTCTATATCTAACCTAAATTTCTCCTCTTTCAATTTCAGCAACAGCAGAGGCAATGAGAAAAGGCATTTTTAGAATCAGTAGCTAAAAAGTATTTCTGCTGTTATAATGGGAACAAAAGAAGCTTTTGTACCTTTCCTGGTCAATTTGTTGCCATTTGTATCTCAGACAGAAAGCCTTAAGAAATGCACTAGATTTAAAAACCCTTTTAAAGGTTTTGATTACCTCACAGGGCAGGTCTGTGCACAACAAAAAAAAAAAAAAAAAAAAAAGGCTTTGGAATAAAATAAATCAGAGAAATATAAGCAGCACTGGGGTTTTTTTTATTACTAAAACATATTTCCAGCTTATCAGGTCAGACGTGAGTGATCCAGACTTTCATAATATTTTCACTAATTGTGAATCCAGCATAATTCTGCTGCTGTCAAAAGACTCTTGCTTCTGTGTCCTTGTAGCAACATTATACTAATAAACTGTATGATAGCCATTCCAAAAGTATCCTCCTGAAGTTAATGTATGGGGTTTTTTTTTCAAATCTCATTAAAGGTAGCTTCAAAATGTGAATGTAGATATTATGAAACATGAAAAATACAATAATCTAATTTTTTTCCTGCTCCTTTTTATCCTAGGTGCAACTGTGCCATATTCTTTCTATTCCATCTGTATTCTAGTTTTCTAATTTCCATTAGAAAAACAACAAAAGTAAACAGTTCAAAAGGTAGAGAGGGAGCGATTTAAAAGTTTGGAGAACAAATAATCATTCTTTCCAGTTTACTTTCTATATCAAAGTGTAGGAGTAAATACAACTCAATATAATGACCTATGATGAAAAACACTGGCTATCTTCTGTGTAAAAAGGATATGAAAATCTGAAATTTCATAGCAAAATTCCTTTGTAGGTAAGAATGACATTTGTTTTGTGTTGCACTCTCCATTTTCTGATGAAGCAGTGGTAGCTGGAGTTGCGGGTAAAAGGAGAATTTGTTCTAGCTTTTTGCTCTTTTTTTCTCAAATTTTCAACCATCAAGTGTTAAAATTTAGCACAACTTAAATGCACACTTCAATTAGATAAGATAGCTTGGTGAGATTGTTATGTCCTTAGAGTTTTGTCAGCCCTGAATCTGTATGCTCTCTGATAAGAGTCAGGATCTCTAAGTGAAGCATTTTATGTAGCATAAAAAAGCAAACTCATTAAATAGGTACTTGAATTTATTTCTCCTTATCCCATGACTGCATCAGTTTTGAGACGAGCTTATTTCATTAGTTATGCCAACTAGTTTTGCTTTAACATGAGAGACAGAGTTTCTGAAGGCCTAGTGACCCAGAAGGGCTCTTTGGGCATATTATGAAATGAAGTACTTTTTTCCATCAGACAGAGACAGATGTGAAAGCAAAGTTTCCACTTGCTGCATATATATTTTCACAGAACGGAAATGAAGATCTGGGCCTTAAGGCTATTTACACTGTCAGGAAAAGGGAAGCTAATTAACTTTAAACATATTGTCAAAGGTAAAGCACATTGCACCCACATACAACCATCGAAACAGTATCCTTTGTTTGTGTAGATTAAGGCTATTCTAAATATGACTTTGCTGAAAGTCACTCATAATTCCACTACTTCTCAATGCCTTAAAGCACAAAGCTATGCCCAAACACAATGGAGATGTTTAAAGATTTTTGTCATATTTAATCAAAACCAAACTTGTATTTGTTTTTTTTCAAACAATTATTAATATTGCTTAGCAAAGTTGTTGGTGATTTTCTGATTGCATTATTTCTCAGTTGTTACCAGAGAATTTTTCATCAGGGCTGTGGGTTGACCCTGGCCGTATTCTAGACACCCACTAAAATCACTAAGAGCTGGAAGAAGTCACACAGGCAAAACAAAACTCAGCGTGAGGATGGTACTAAAATTTATTACTAACAGGATAAGAGCTAAAGAGTGAAAAATAAAACAGTCTTAAACACACTTTCCAACGACCCCTCCTTCCTTCTATGTTCTCCCTCCTCCCCCTGCATCAGTGCACAAAAAGAAGTCCACCCATAGGGCAACAGGTCTTCCAAGTCTGCTGTCCTGTGGGTCACCCTTCCATGGACTGCAGGGGGACAGCCTGCTTCACCATGGTCTTCACCACAGGCTACAGGGGAGCCAAAGCTCTGAGTCCTTCCCCTGTTCCGTGGCGTCCCTCCCATGGGAAACAGTCCTTGATGGACCTCTCCAACGTGGAGAGGCCCCCACCCCGGGCCGCAGGTCTTCCATATCTGCCGTTCCAAAGGTCATTCCTCCATGGGGTGCAGGGGGTCTCTGCACCCCGATGGTATTTCATAGGATGCAGTCTTTAACAGATGAGTTGCACCGATGTGGGTCCCCCACAAGGCCATGAATTGAGTCCTACCTGGGAATAACCAGCTCCGGCGTGGGCTCCTCTCTCCATGGCCTGAGCCAGCTCAGCTCCAGTGCCATGCCTGCCTTGGGCCAGGGACGCGGGGCTCAGCCCCCGGCCCAGAGGCTTCTGTTGGCAACGCCCCCGGCTCCAATCTCTTCTGCGCAACAAACTTTTTCTTAAATATGTTATCACAGAGGCGCAACAATTGGCTCTCCCTTGGCCAGCAGGAAGTCCCTCCTGTAGCCAGCTTTCATTGGCTCCATGGAAGGGGGAAAACTTCTAGCAGCTTCTAACAGAAATCACCCCATGTAGCCCCCCAGCTACCAAAAAAAAAAAAAAGCAGCCACAGAAACCCACAACAATCAGTTAATAAACTAGCAAGCATGCTAACTCAGTTCCATAGAGGAGTACAGTTCTTAAGATCAAACACAACTTTGATATTTCATTAATAATAAAAGTGATTTCCAAGACAAGGGCAATAGTTTAATGAATCATAGAATCATAGAGTGTCTTGGATTTGAAGGGACCCTAAAGATCATCTAGTTCCAACCAGCCTGCCACAGGCAGGGGTACCTTCCACTAGACCAGGTTGCTCAGTGCCCTGTCCAACCTGGCCTTGAACACTTCCAGGGATGGAGCATCCACAGCTTCTCTGGGCAACCTGTTCCAGTGCCTCACCATCCCTACAGTGAAGAGTTTCTTCCCGATATCTAAACTAAACCTACTCTCTGTCAGTTTAAAGCCATTCCCCCTTGTCCTATCAGTACACGTCCTTGTGTAAAGTCCTTCTCCAGCTCTCTTGTACCCCTCTTTAGGTACTTGGAGGCTGCTACAAGGTGTCCCTGGAGTTTTCTCCAGGCTGAACAAGTCCTACTCCCTCAGCCTGTCTTCATAGCAGAGGTACTCCAGTCCTTTGATCAGCTTTGTGGCTCTTCTCTTGACTTGTTTCAGCAGGTCCATGTCCTTGGGCTCCAGAGCTGGATGCAGTACTCCAGGTGGGGTCTTGTGAGAGTAGAGGGGCAGAATCGCCTCTATCGATCTGCTTTTGATGCAGCCGAGGACACAGTTGTCTTTCTGGGCTGTCAGTGCACATTGCCAGGTCATGTTGAGCTTCTTGTCAACCAACGCTCCCGTCCTTCTCCTCTGGGCTGCTCTCAATCTATTTTCTGGCCAGCCTGTATTTGGGCTTCAGATTGCCCCAACCCATGTGCAGGACCTTGAACTTGGCCTTGTTGAAATTCATGAGGCTAACAAGCGGGATTCTCTGGGTTCAACACAAAAAACTTTGTTCATGTTATGTAGGAAATGAGCTAATTTTTCTCAGGGCAGTGGTGATCTCATAAGCATTTTACTACCAGTGATTTAAAGCCACTACAAAGAAATAATACATTTCCTCTTAAGAGCAGTTCCTCCTCTGTGACCTTTGTTTTACATGCATCAGGGCTCCACCACTTCTGTGACATCACTTAATTCCTTTTAAAAATCCTAAAATCTAAATTAAAAAATTGATTTAGGTTCCTGCCTACCTACTTCTCCTGGCCTTGAACAAGACATAAGGGAATACAAGATCAAGTGAAATAATTTTAAGCTTTCCTATGGATTTGAGATAGCACACTAAGAAACTTGCCAATTAATTTATTAATGATCTTATTATCCCTGAAGATTTACTGAGGGATAAAGCAGTCATTCCTCAACAACATTGCTAGGAGATAATTAATCACTGCTAAAAATTATGAAATTGTGGGGTTACACAAATACAAGTTCATCCCAGATCACAACTAGAGGTTCTATACAGCTGTAGTGCAGAACAGAAACATGAGCAGGCTGTGATACTGAGCACACAGAGGCTCCAGTATGGGTGCAATGATGTTCCATTTTGCAACCCTTCAGTGAGACATCCCGCTTTCTTGCAGAATCAAAATTAGGCACAGAAGGAGGTCTTAACAGGTATTAGTATGTTCTGCAGGAAACTAGCAAGTTACAAATAGGAAGCTGTGGAAAGGAGTAAGGCAAGTACCAAGGCAAGACTTTTGTGCTTCTAACTTCGCTGTCACAGACTGAAGAGAGACCCAACCTAGAGTCATGTCTCAGCCCAGACTTTTGTAGTTTTAGGCCTGTCACCCTAGATCAGATGCACTTCTCCTCATTAGGTGCTCAGCTGAGCAGGACTCAGTGGACAGTGACAGCATCCTCAGAGGATGTAAGTGAATTTTACTTAAAAAATAATCAGGCTCTAAAAGGAGAATTCCTCTCTCTCCAGAAATTAGATGTCTAAACCAGGAAGAAAAGCACATCTGGGTACTCTGCTATTGTAATGGGGACTTGTATTCATGCTCTGTGCTAAATAGTGAGCCTGATTCATGCATCAACGAGTTGCTGGTAACAAACATACAGATGGATAGATGCTCTCTGAGTTCAGCTGCTACCTTCAGCACTGTTGTTTTCCTATGGCAGTCTGCAATGGATTATTACATGAACAGCCAACATACCAACATAGCTATACTGTTCCTGGCACATTGCCTTCCACTAGGAAGAGCATTTTCCCCTTCAAGGGTCTAGCCTGTGGATTTAGCCTATATCTATTGAATCAGACATTCTATTTCTGTATAATTTTATTGCTATGTTCTTCAATTGCATGAAAGTAAGTATGTAGAAAAGATGTCCCATCCTAGCTGGTCCTTATCCAGCTCATCACAACTTCCTATTATGACAAATCCTTTCTGTTTTTCCTGAGATGGACTCTTGCACAACACTCAGACAAAGGCAATGCACCTGAACTATGTACTTGAACTGTCCCAAAACATCTTGATGTAAATATGGAAGGAGATGACTCGCTCTTGCAATGTTTAAAGCACATACCTGGAGGGTTTTTGAGTTGTCTCAGTCCCATGAAAAAAGCATAAAGTCAAGTTTTATTTATGTGTCCTTTTTAAAACCAATGATAGAAGGGTAGCCTTGGAAATGGGGATATAAATGATGCCAGGAAGCCAGCTAATATGGGTGGTGCATTACAGAAAAGAAGAAAGAGAAATTACATGAAAAGAAAAACGGATATAGTTTAGATAAAACAAATTCAAAAATGTTGCAGTGCCAAAATAAAAATGAATTCAGAATTCTTAAATATAATAATTTAAGAAAATAACGTTACTGGAGACCTTCAGGAGGGACTTCAGGAAAAACTCCATCAAGAATGTAAAACAGTGCAGAAAAGATTTGAAGACGTGGTATGGAATTAAAAAGGTTAATTGGTAATGCTGTAATGTGATCAAATCTGTTCGGAATTTCTTGAACATTTTAATGCTCAATAGTACATTGTTAAAGAGTTGTTTGGAGATTTAACCCTGTGACCCTCAATTAGTCATTGAGATGTAGACAAGACAGGTTGAGCAAAACTCTATCAAGATTCATGTATCCGTTTACCCCAAAGGGCACATACACCAGTAAGACAGAAGTTTTTGACAGACTAAGAAAACCCAGAGCATGCCACTTGAATTGTAAAAAAGATTGAAACTGTCAGAAGAGCTGTCTGTGCCTACTAGACTATCTAAGGCCATGATATTTGTGTGTACTTCACTGTACCAGGTATACTTATTTGACTGTATGGTACATAAGACCTTTGTAATTTATGTCTAATCTCAGTGTAGTCTTTTCCATTGTTCCTGTGATAGAGGAAATGCATAATCTTTGCTGGTGCCCATAAGAAATATTTCAGCTTTTTTTGCATTAATGTCTCTGAGACCTCCTGTATGTCATTGCCAGTGATGTAGAAACGCACATTTAAATACAAGCTCTTGCCATATTCTGCTCAACCTATTATGGCTGCAATTTCACAGATTTATGGGTTCACAAGCTTATTAAATAGAAAAAGGTAGAGGAGATGGTTAGGAAAAAAAAAAGCTATTGTTTAAAAAATGTTAACATGCTAAGAAATTCAGAACACAGGTGACAGCACTTGATATATTCTTCAATCTGGAAGATGCTCACTAAATGTAAATGAGGTTTGTGCTGCCAAGAGTATTTATTATGAAACAAAAATCTATAACCAAATACAACATATAAATAATCCCAAAAGTCTTCTGATTCATTTCTGTGGAATAGCTTACAGCAGTAGAGCATTGGTGGGTCACAAAAACAAGATGGCACATGGACACATAATATATTTATTATTCCCTATCATACTTCCAATAAAAGTGTTAAGTATTGAGGTCTGCTATATCATACATGAAGTTTGAAATATTGACTGCAACAGATCGATCTAAGAGATCTGGGGACCGCATATTCCACTTTAACAAGGTACAGATTTAAGAAGAATTTTATGTTCCTTAGTAGATAGTTCTCCCCGAATTGGCCTCCTGTGCTTAGATTAATCTAACTCCCATTTAAGCTTTTCTTGGACCATTAAACCATAGGGATTGCTTTTTCCTGGTATTAACTTCAACAGGAACTACTTATGTGAGGCATTTCAGAGGATACAACCACTAAGAAAAAATGATGGTTTACTTTATAGAAAATTACTCAATTTACTTATTAATTATGAGTGTAGCAAACAGTGCCTAGATTGTTAATTATTTAAAAAACCAGCAATCCCATGAAGCAAAAAAAGAAAAGAAACAACACATCTTTCCAGACTTCTGAAAAATGCATTATTCTGGATTTCTGAGTGTTTGTAAGAAACTGCTCAATTCCAAACTGACCAAGACCTTTTGTCCATTTAGGATTTTGTTATGGGTCTCTCAATTTTACTGCGAGGGACAGTACAGGAGAAACTGAACTGGGCTTTCAATTTGTATGATATAAATAAGGATGGATATATAACTAAAGAGGTAAGGTCTTCTTACTTTAGTCACTGAAAGTAAATGTATAGCTAAGTTCTGCTTTCAAAGAAGAATGGTTTTATTGTCAAATTAGACATGTTAACAAATTACCATATATTATGAAGTTAGATATGCTAAAAATTACAGTAGTTTTCTCATTTTAAAGACATATATGAAAACTGAAAAGGGAATATCTTTACAAAATTTGTAAAAGGTCAGAATTCTTCAGGTACAAAAATGGTTAGCTTCAATTTATGCCTGTCTATTTGCACATACAGTCACTAGAATAGACTGATAGGATATTTGGACAAAAAGGAATTAAGTACATGTGCAATAGTTGTTACTCATTTTATAAATCTGCTTCTAAAAATTTTTACTTGAAACAGAATTTATATAGAAAGATTCCTACATCTTTTATTCTGCAAGGATTTAAACACATACTTAAATGATAGTGGGACCAAATGAGTGCTTTCATTAAAATCTATAGGTATTTTTTAGGTGCGTTTTATGTAAATATATATAAATATATATAAATTACACTTTTAGTTTTACTTTTAGAAAACTTCATGATCACTATAAAAGGGTGAGCTATAGAATAGTTTCCTAGCAAACTGCAAATTACTTGTTTTTATAATTAAAGTTTTCACAAGCCACTCTACGAAGAAAATTCAAAGCTTTTGATATAAAAGGAGGACTGCATAAGTGCAGGTGTGTGCATGGGTGTTTCTGTTTTCTCCAGGGAAAATTCAGTTGTAAGAAGCTGATGTGCTTTGGCTGCTCAGTTGCTGTTACAGAACTTCTTTTCCTGTTTATTTTTACTCATAAGATATTGGGAGATTCTTCCCACAACCTGTGAACTTGCGCATATTCTAAATAATTTAAAATCAAAATCATACACTGATGAAAGCTGAACTCAGATGCTAGATTTTCTAGGAACAACACAGTTCCTTCTTGAAGCTGTTCAGTCAAAAAATATCAGGCACAATCTCAATATTTTATTCTAAAATGTAAATCCTTAAAATTATTTACGTGTTCTGAGTTAAAGCAGTGTCTACAATGCACATTACATAAACATCTTTTTTTTTTCCTCTTCAGGAAATGCTTGATATCATGAAAGCAATATATGATATGATGGGGAAATGCACCTATCCTGTTCTCAAGGAAGATGCACCTAGACAACATGTGGAAACATTTTTCCAGGTAGGTCAGGTAACATAGAAGCCAAAAAAACTGCTCTGTGAGCAGGTAGAGAAAGATTTTCCATGTTATAACAGTTTTGCATATCCTTCCAATTCTGTAATCCTTTTTTTCTCTGTGGTTCTATCCCAAGTTTCTCAGATCTACTTGTTACACCTTGCTTTTTCAACAATAAGCTTCTTAAGCTTATTCCAGTATATCACTTACTACATCTTTTGGCATGGTTGTTCCTAGGCTGACATATAACTGAAACAAATATAAAAAGGACTTGTTTTACACAGGATTTCAGGAGGAAAAATGTACATTTTATTTTTTTTTAACAGAAAATGGACAAAAACAAAGATGGCGTAGTTACCATAGATGAATTCATCGAGAGCTGCCAGAAAGTAAGTATTCAGTGATAAGTACTGAATGTGTATCTGTTGGCTAATGCCATCATAGTGCTACACAGAATTCTAGAGTGATAGTGAGGATAATCCTAATACCAGAGACAGCATTTTCCCAAGGTAGAGTATGTATGTATACCATTACACAAAACCACTAAAAGTCTCAATAAATTTCTGCCCTGAATCTGCAGAAGAGCTGGTATATACAAGCTGTTCTTGCTCATTAGACAACCGTGTCAATATCCCTTATCTTTTCAACGTTTTTTTGTACTTGATAGGAAAAATTTTCTTCACATTCAGCTAAATATTTATTTCTATCTTGTGCCCATGCTGGGGCACACAGTCCTGTTACAACTGGCATATAGTCACAGCGATAATAATATTGCCTGAAAATTTATCATCTATAGATGAGTTTCTCAGTGAGTCATGATGTGCTTACAAGCAGTAAGGCCTTGAAAGGAGAGTGCAAAGGCCTTGCTAAGTATTGGATGGTAAGAGTTAACACCAGGCAAGTTTTCTCAAGGTAAGAGATTGAGAATTGATTGTGATTATCAGCTGCAAGTGTTTACATTACAGCTGGGTAGCTGAAAGCAGCTCCTGGCCTCTAGAGATAGAGCTGAGAATAACTTCTGCAGCAGGAGTTACAGCCTGCTTTCACTCCTCTGCTCTTCAGAAACCAGCTTGTTCTCAGACCAGAAGACGATATGAGGAAAGATAAGTTGCATTTTCAGAAATTTAAGGAACTCCTGTTATAAGAAGTCATAGTAGTGGTCTACTGATACCTTGTCCAGACTGATTAATATGAAGCTGACTGAGACCAGCAATATAGTCCGTGCACGTTGATCCTTATCTTTTACACCAAGAATAGAGTAGTAAAGAGACAGAAGAAAACAAGACTATCAAGATAAATGCATTTAGTGAGGCATAGTTTTTTAAGCATTTAGAACAGGGAAAGCTCTAGATGCTCAAAGATTCTCTAGAACCAGTCTATTTTTATATGCATCTGTAGTTATTCATTGGGGTTGCTCTTATAAACACAGCTATCTAGTAAGTGATTCTTTCTTTGATTTTAATCCACTGATTTTGGGGGATGACCGACAGCCAACAGCTCTGCTAACTGTGGCTGTTCAATGTTACCTTAGCAATGGGCATTGAGTAGTGTCTTATCTGTCAGCAGAGCTCTATTGCATTGACCATGGCTCCAGCTTGTCAGTCTTGTTCAATACAAATGAAAGGTATTTGCTCTGCTAACACTGAGTGATCATCAGTAACAGAGATGAGATTCATTTCCCAGCTGAGGTCTGTAGCATTCTGGAAGTTAAATGACACATTAATCTGCACCTGGCAGCAATTATGGTGATGGGCTGAGAGATTCATTTACAAAGAAAATAAATACCTTTAGTAAGGAATTGCCTGCTGTCCTGATCCAATGAGATTCAGATTGTCATGACTATTAAAAGATTTCTTATTTACCTCTTCTAAGTACTCAGAATACATGTGAGAGAGATGCTCTCTAAACTACTACATGATAGAGACACTGTTGTCATCATGCCACTTACCTCACCTTCACTTGCTTTTAACTTCAAAGGTGGTCATGTGTTTTGATACAGAAAGTGTCTTGCTGCCTAAATTTTTGTCTGCCTACTAAAAACTGTTCTTCTATTAAGACTTCTGAGCTGCAAAGTGTGCAATTCATATTTATATCAAGATTTAGTTTCAGAAATTAGGTTTGGGGTTAGGATTTATAGAATCATAGAACATACTGAGTTGGAAGGGACCCATCAGGACCATCCAGCTCCTGTCCATGGCCCTGCACAGGATCATTCCCAAGAGTAACACCATGTGCCTGAGATTATTGTCCAAACACTTCTTGAACTGAAGATAGGCTTGGTGCTGTGACCACTTCCCTGAGGAGCCTGTTCCACTGTTCCACTGCTTAATCACCCTCTGGGTGAAAAACTTTTTCTTGATCTTAAACCCAACCCTCCCCTGACTCAGCTTTATGCCATTTTCTTTTCTGTCACTGGTCACAAGAGTGAAGAGATCATTACCTGCCTCTCTGCTTCCCCTCATGAGGATGTTGAAGACCACGATGAGGTCTCAGTCTCCTCTTCCCAAACCAAGTGACCTCAGCCACAGTCATACAGCTTCCTCTCCAGACCCTTAACTATCCTTGTGGCCTTCCTTTGGACGCTCTCTAATAGCTTAATATCTTTCCTTTATTGTGGTGCCCAAAACTGCACACAATATTCAAGGTGAGGCCACACCAGCACAGAGCAGAGTGGGACAATCCCCTCCCTTGACCGGCTGGCAATGCTTTGCCTGATGCCCCCCAGGACACGGTTGGCCCTCCTGGCTGCCAGGGCACTGCTGACTCATATTCATCTTGCTGTTGGTATTTTCAGGATTGCATTTTTCACAAAAGAATATGGCTGCTTCCTTTAAAATGCAGCTGTAGGAAAACCTTTTTTTAATATCCCGATAGATACAAGACTGATCTAAAAAGGTAAGGCCCTAATCTTTAAAGAAACCAGAAGTGTGTTCTGCCAGGGAAAGGCTGCAGGAGCCTTTGAAGGCTATCTCAGGCAAGAGTTGCCAGTTTCTGAGAACTGGCATTCCTCTACTTAGAGTTGGAAGCCAAGTTAGCCTCCTTTCTCTGCTTGGTGGTGGTGGAAGATGGTCTGACTCAGGTATTGCTTCATATCTACAGCAGCACCGTGAAGAACGGAGGCAAAGGACTAAGGCATTCAGGGTCATAGGTGAATGTCAGGGTGAATGACACAGGTTCTTCTGATAATGATAAAAAGGCTTCTGGGATAGGTATTTCCTGCAGGAGTAAGCCTTGCCATACACAATGCTGATGGTCTGGGCTAGCCTGGAGACAACAAAGAAACCATCTCAAACCTAAGAAAAACTGCCTTAAAGGTAGGTCAGATCTGTCAAAGCTCATTCATCCAGGTTTGTGCTTCATATGGACAATGTTTCATATGCACTAACGCCTCCTTATGTCTTCAGTTAGGAATCATTAAACAAATCTGTTATGTGTAGAAAAATGTACTGAAAAAAGAGGCAAATGAAAAAGATACACTTGCCAAAGAATTCCAATGCAAGCATCTGCTTTTTTTTTTCTTTTTTAAATATGGGAAAAAAAGCTACTAAAACTTACCATATTCTAAATATTATGACAAGCCTGTATTTTCTTGTGAAGACTCTTCCCATTTGACTGACTAAGGAAGGGGCATTGGAAGTCTTCTGTAAAGAAACAGTCAACCTCAGAAATATGGAGCTGATTTTAGAAAACTACCAGTTTCATTCATGATGATACACATATAATAAAATTGGTAGGAAGTGGCAAAACACTTAGGAAATTCAGAGCATGTTGTTTGTGTTGGCCATTTGCTGAGTTTAGTTTCCAGTTTATATTAATTAAATGACAAATGATGCCAGTTATACCAAACTTCAACCTTACATTAATCAGTGATCTTGTCTAGTTTATTGATATTTTAAAGCAATGCAGTGGGAAAAAAGTTATTTATTTTAACTTTCAGTAATTTAATATAGTAATTTTACTACACAAATCTTTAAGCATTAATCTACATATTTTTGAAATTACATATAATTGCTTCCATAAGTTATTTTATCAGTACAAAATAGTGCACAGATCATTACAGCAACATCACTTGAGATGGCATATGGAATCAAAGATGAAAAACCCCACTGTGCATGTTTCGTAACATAAATTAAGCAAATTACTCAAACCAGTCATTTTTACAAACCAAATCACCCACTAGACTGAACAGTGAATAATTTAACTGGAAATTGATACTGAACACGTATTATGGGAAGATTTATGTACAGAAGTATCACATCCCTATCAGTAGTGGAGAATACTAGGAGATAACCTCTAAGAAGTGGGGTCTTTTAGGCATCTTTCAAGAAACCTAGAAAAATAATTTATCAGTCTTTTTATTCACTTGAATTGAAGATGTTTAAATTATCTCTCAAGAAAGTGCTAAAGAGTGTGCATTCAGAGTAAAATATAGGCTGATTACAGTGAAGACCAGCAAATGCTAAATGAGCATGTAATAAACTCTTGTATTGTGTACATATATTGTTTTGTGCAAGCAACTGTTGATCCAGAAATGCCAATAAATATAGGCTACTGTAAGTAAACTCTTTCTTCTATACACTGAAATGTAAAGCTTACAAAGAAAAATACTGTTTTCTGAGTGCTGTGTTGAGAGTTATTTACTGATAAAAACTGGAGTACAGAGGGATGCATCACTAAGCACTATGCAAAACATGGGAGCTGAAGATTTTCTAAAAACATTACCTAATGCAAAGCAATCAGAAAGCAGAAGTAGCATTGGAAAGCAGTGACCATCTTTCAGTGTGAGCACATAGAAAATCTGAACTGAGGAGCTGAAGCGTGTTGTGATACTTGCCAAACTGATTGACTCTGCAGTTCATGCAAAGATGCACACATCAATCTATTTTATGTTGGAGTCGTCCCTAGCTATGTAACAGGATGTCCTAATATTGCAAAAAGGCTCCTCTGTACAATGCACAGAAGTAGCAATTCCATGGATGGAGTTGCACTTCAGATACAACTATTCCATGAGTTCCATTGTCTAAATGTAGTATTTTATAGTGGGTATAAACTGATAGCCTCTGAAATACTGCAGACTTAATTTTCTTAATATGCTATTGTATCCTTGACAGGGTAGTTTTGGTCTCATTAATATATACAAAAACTTATTTAAGCATAGATCCATTAACAGCCTTTTTCTGCTAACAATTTCTCTAAACAAGCTGAAAGAAAATGTTGTAATTAACTAAAATACAGTTAGTTCTACACCATGGCACTATAGATATTGGCCAGCTACATTTGTAATGGTGTATGATTTTTGGTTTTGTATTGTCTTTTTTTACAGGATGAGAATATAATGCGATCCATGCAGCTCTTTGAAAATGTGATTTAATGAAGACATTAGGTCTACAACTAATGGACAAATATGAGCTATTCGGCAACATTATCTAAAAGATGGATTTCCCACTTTATCATAAATAAAGTTACTCAGCTGTACACTGAGACATGGATTATGCCAGTAAATTTTTTATTATAAACTCTTCCCAACAAAAAATTCTTTCCAAATTATTAAATTTAGCTCTTCAACAGTGGCTACTTAGTTAACAAGATTGTACTGAAAAACCAAGTTTTTACTCCAAATTCAAACAAACTGACAGTATGCAGCTTTATTATCATTCCAAACCCTAGTTAAAACAGATACAATCACAAGGAGACTAAAAATATATTCTTAGTTTTGCTACTCATTTTTACTGGATTAAACTCCAGGTATTCAAGTGTAACTTAGCTTCTAATTTATACAGAGGCACTACCATGTATTTTCTTTTCCCATTTCTATGGTGTAGTCCTCATTTTTGAATAACACTTAGAGTTAATGCTATAATCAGTGTGCAATGCACATCTTGCTGCAATTGCCTTCCACCTTTGACTTGCTTTTCTCTTCCAAAGAAAAAAACCCCAAACCTAACAAAACTGATAACCTGAGAGGGAGAACTGTTATAGAACAAAAACCCAAACTGCTTATAGGTAGGTTTATTCCATAGAAAATATGAGTAAGCTTCTTTCAATCACACTTACCTAGTAAATCTATCATGACAGGAATACCAGGCGTCCTACATACTGTATTTCTAATTCTTCTTGGATGTGTCTGCAAAGTTCTTAGCTTAAAATTAAGGATCTTCTAATTTTTCATGAAGAAAGCTTAACTAGATCCTAACACTGTTTTCATAAGTATGTGTCTTTTTGCCTTTAATAAATAAAAAGGCATGAACTTCCTTTGAAACTTCCATCCCACTTCAGTGCTGAGAATGAATATCCCTATGTAGTAACATCTACTAATAAGGACTGCTAGTCAGGCTAACATCTATTTCAGCTTTTTGTAATATCTGTGACTATG